GTGTGACGGTATGGGTAACTCTAGCAATCCTCTTAAAATCGTCGATTTATGCTTAGAAAATATCTTTTATTTTTTTAATTGTTTGCCCCACATGTACTAAACCACAGTGGCATTTTAAAATATATACAACGTGTGTAGTCGGACATTTCACAAACTGCTATGAATAAGGTATTTGTTATCTGTATATGGGTGATGAAAGACTGATCCATGGATCATCAAATTGCAACATACACAGTTATAACAAGGGTAGTTACCATTTTAATGTGACACCTGAGTAGGAATCATGGGGAATTCTGCCCTCATTAGTTTATCACATTGTAATGGAGCTCGCTTGTAGGCAAGCATCGGTTTTCTCCTAAACTCCTCTATATCAGAATCGCAATTTGATAATATATGCCAATGTTTATCTGCTATTTTCTTTATCCCAGAGGATAACGTGTCAAAGCGAGAAATTTACTTAATTATATTCTCTGTATTGTCATTAGGTTTAGGAGGAAACATCTCCTGTCTACTTACACTTGTCAAAGATGCCGACTGATTCTTCAATGAAATCATAGGACTGCTTAATCATTTTGTCATCTCTTCTAGACACTGGTCTCCTAAATTGGTACAAGAGATTAACCTTTTGACCCTCATATATTGACTCTTTGGTACATACTTATGGTGGAAGGGCAAAAAACTACTATAATGCAATTTATGCAATGGCTTTCTGTATATGGCCTTCTGTATATACAGGTTTCCAATTTTTCATTTCATTTGGTAACCAAGAAATCCAAGAAGAGAATAGTGTTTAAATCTTCAGTCATGGTAAATTTTATTGTTTCCGAACAACTATTCAAGAAACAGAAGAACTCATCAAGGGATTCCAATGTGCCACACCACAACACCAGAACATCATCAATGTTATCCCACCATTTAACAGCTTATTTTTTAAACAAATCATTTCTATAAATTAACTTCTCTTCCAATGCTCCCATGTATATGCCGGCGTATGTGGATGCCATATTAGAACCCATTGAGGTACCTCTCATTTGAACAAAAAAAAGTAAAAACCCCAACACGCAGAGTTTAGGACAGCAAGGGACAAAAAAAGGAAATAACCTATTACCGGGGCTTAGAATGGCCAGACTCCATGTTAGACAGATAGAAAAGCCAGTAACGGGCCAAGTTCACGGTAATAGAGAGACAGCGAAGACAACAAGCAATTATATTTAATTTGGAGAGGCAAAACTCCATTAGCCACATGGTAGCAAAAGACAATAAAATACATAAAAATATACAATTGTGCAGCTATTGCATAAAACAGGTACATTCAACATATCCCCAGATAGCTTAGATCTGAGTGCACATTATTACTGAATGGCGCTCAGATCACATACATACAGTTCAATTGCCATGGAGCCAAAGTCTTTCACATAGTCTTTCGTTATACGAATGGGCTCCATGGCATAGCTATCTGGTGTATCACTGTTCAAATAGGGAAAGTACCGAATGACCCAGCTTTCGGGTCTTTGCAGGGGAAAATTAAGCATTTCAACATGGGGTGGTACTAATGTGTAAGAATGTGAATATAAGAACAATAAATCCACAGCTCTGGCAGTTCTACTTCACAGGGCAGGAGGCAGGCAATCAGTCTTCTCCAATGCCCAGTGACGAGGCTGGTTTCGCCACGTTTCTCCCCTTTCCCAAAAAGACTAACAAGGTATCTGACCTCCTGTCGGTCAGTTCCTTGGTTAGTCCAGCAACCCACCCACAAAACATAATCAGCAGAGTGGCCCACCCACAAGAATTGGTTACTGCACCTGGGGCAGTGGGTAGCTTGTCCATGTCAAGGGGCTCCACCACGGCTCTGCGGGGTACTAGCCTTCCAGATCGGTGGGTTGCTGAGTGGGCAGAGACCAGCGGTACGCTGCCCTGGTGCCAGCGCTACCATGGGAGTAGCCTGGTTGGAGCCCAGCTGAGGAGAAGGGTTAGAAGGCTCCTCCCTCTGGACCTGGGGTTGCTGCTGGAGAGAAAGACAGGCTGTCTCCCCTTTGGATAAACAGCCCTGCTGCTGGGGGACAGGACTGACCGTCCCTACCCCCTGTGGTTTGGGCACAGACACCACGGTCCCATCTGCACCGGTGCGGGGCTTATCATCTCCCCTTGGTGGGCTAGGCTTCCACTGGGGAGGGGAATACTCTGCCGTTGGGAAGCAGGACCGACTGTCTGTACTCCCTGTAGCTTGGGCGCAGAGACCACGGTCCCATCTGCGCCGATGGGGAGCTTAGTGTCTCCCCTTGGTGGGCTATGTTGCAGCTGGGAAGAGGGGGTAACAAGCTCCTCTCCCTTACACACCTTCAGCCGCTGGAGAGAGGGGTAACAGGCTCCTCTCCCTGACACCCTCTCTGCTGGTGGAGAGGGGGACTGACTGTCTCCCCTTTTAATATATTGTCCCGCTGCTGGGGAGTGAGACCAACTGTCTCTGCTCCCTGCAGGACACACTGCCGCTGGGGAGGAAGGACGGCACCTTAATATATAACTGTGCAGCTACTGCATAAAACGGGTACATTCAACATATGCCCAGATAGCTTAGATCTGAGCGCACATTATTACTGAATGGCACTCAGATCACATACATACAGTTCAATTGCCATGGAGCCAAAGTCTTTCACATAGTCTTTCGTTATACGAATGGGCTCCATGGCATAGCTTATCTGGGGTATCACTGTTCAAATAGGGAAAGTACCGAAAGACCCGGCTTTCGGGTCTTTGCAGTGGAAAATCAAGCATTTCAACATGGGGCCATAGTCACAGTGCAGGAGGCAGGCAATCAGTCTTCTCCAATGCCCAGTGGCGAGGCTGGTTTTGCCACAAGTATGCTTACTTCTTACTTTTCATATACCCTCTCCATTTCATTTTGTTATTGAAAAGGGGTTTTATTATTGCTACTCCCAGCCTAGGAACATCTACCTATCCAAGATCAGTTGACATTAGGTGAACATGCTGTCTGTAGTTTTTTTTGCACGTACCTTCTGATCAGTTCCCTCTATATTTATTTTAGAGCTACCATATATGTGTCAAGCTATCTACATGTTTTGATTTAACCCCTTCAGAACGGAGTCAATAGTACACGTTCTGATCAAAACAAAACGTAAACAAAAACTGGAATTTGCGCTATATGTCTGTTCAACCGTAATTCACCGCTGTCACATTAAGTGCACCCACACTTATTATATATAATTTTGTTCAGGAGAAACAGGGCTTTCATTTATCATTAACTATTTATATATGGAACATAATTTATTATTAATAAAATAAAAAAAATGTGAGAAAATCTGATTATTTTTTTTTAATTTGTATTTCCGTCTGACATTTTAGCTGTGAATGTCATAATACTGTTAGGTTTTACTGCAAAACAATGCACATATTTATAATCAGCGATGTCTCACGAGTACAACAGTGCCCCCCATTAACAGGTTTTATGGTGTTTTGGAAAGTTACAGGGTCAAATATAGAACGTTCCATTTTCAAATTGAAATTTGCCAGATTAGTAATGTTACCTTTGAGACGGTGTGGTAGCCCAGGAATGAGAATTACACCCATAATGGCATACCATTTGAAAAAGTAGACAAGCCAAGGTATTGAAAGTGGGGTATGTTTAGTCTTTTTTAGTAGCCACTTATTCACAAACACTGGCCAAAGTTAGCGTTCATATTTGTTTTTGTGTGAAAAAAGCAAAAAACTAATATTTGGCCAGTGTTTGTGACTAAGTGGCTACTAAGAAAGACTGGACATACCCCACTTGCAATACCTCGGGTTGTCTACTTTTGCAAATGGTATGTCATCTCACTTCCCTCATCATTAAAATCTCTCTATCCTTTTACTTACCTGTTCCTGCTAACACCATCTTCATTGCTCCCTCTCTGCTCCCCTCATCTCTGTATTCATCACACGCACTTTACTCATATTTATCCAGCCTTTCTCCACACACCCCTCCTAAATACCCTAAATACAAGCTCTCATCCTCAACATTTAAATCTTACTCCCACCTTCTCTTCCTTTCCATCCTAGCAGCAGGTGATGTCTCTCCAAACCCTGGTACTTCCACTACTCAGCCACCTGGTACAAACACCAGAACCCACAACAACCTACTACCCATTCCATGTAATTCTCACTATAATTCCTCTTTTAAAGCTGCCCTCTGGAATGCACGCTATGTGTGCAACACCTTTAAATCTACTTCCATCCATGACCTATTTATCTCACACTCCCTAAACCTACTTGCACTAACAGAAACATGGCTCTCTCCCTCTGAATGGCTACACCTGCCTCACTGTCCTTTGGTGGTCTTCACTTTACCCACAATCCAAGACAAGCGGAGATTTAATTCCCTTCTCCGCCCTGCTATGGCCACCCCCCAAACTAACCTTACAGCTTATAGCTTTGCATGCTACTTTACCGACAAGATTGAACAGCTAAGGAAACAATTCTCCCCTCCTTGCCATTCTCTTTCTCAGCCACATGTAAATCATGCTTTCCCTACCCTCCAGACTTTCTACCTGGCTACTGAACAAGAGTTGGCTGCGCTTCTCCATTCCTCTCGCCCCACCACTTGCCCGCTCGATCCTGTCCCATCTCACCCTATCAGATCTCTCTCCCCTTGTCTTGTGCCTACCCTAACACACATCTTAACTGCTCTCTCTCTTCTGGCACTGTTCCTGCTGACCTTAAATATGCCACTGTAATACCTATCCTGAAAAAAACATCTCTTGACCCATCCTCCCCTTCTAATTATCGTCCCATATCCCTGCTCCCTTTCTCATCAAAGCTTTTGGAAAGACTTGTCTTTACCCTTGTGTCCCGCTTCCTTAAAGGACCACTCTAGGCACCCAGACCACTTCAGCTTAATGAAGTTGTCTGGGTGCCAGGTCCAGCTAGGGTTAACCCATTTTTTAATAAACATAGCAGTTTCAGAGAAACTGCTATGTTTATGAATGGGTTAAGCCTTCCCCCTAATCCTCTAGTGGCTGTCTCATTGACAGCCACTAGAGGCGCTTGCGTGCTTCTCACTGTGATTTTCACAGTGAGAGCACCCAGCGTCCATAGGAAAGCATTGTAAATGCTTTCCTATGAGACCGGCTGAATGCGCGCGCAGCTCTTGCCGCGCGTCGCGTCAACCGGCGAACGGCGGAGGAGGAGGAGAGGAGAGCTCTCCGCCAGCAGCTGGAAAAAGGTAAGTTTTTACCCCTTTCCCCTTTCCAGAGCCGGGCGGGAGGGGGTCCCTGAGGTTGGGGGCACCCTCAGGGCACTATAGTGCCAGGAAAACGAGTATGTTTTCCTGGCACTATAGTGGTCCTTTAATTCCAACTCTCTCCTTGACCCTCTTCAGTCTGGTTTCCGCCCTCTCCACTCTACTGAGACTGCTCTTATCAAAGTGACTAATGACCTAATCTCCGCTAAATCCAAAGGTCACTACTCCATATTAATTCTACTTGACCTCTCTGCTGCCTTTGACACCGTTGATCATGCTCTCCTCCTTCAAACTCTTCAATCGCTCGGTCTCTGTGACTCTGTCCTCTCTTGGTTTTCCTCCCATCTCTCCCAATGCTCATTCAGTGTCTCCTTTCCCAAGGATACCTCCTCCCCTCGTCCTGTCTCAGTTAGAGTTCCCCAAGGGTCTGTCCTTGGTCCCCTTCTATTTTCTCTTTATACTGCCTCTCTTGGTAAACTTATTGCCATTTTGGATTCCACTACCACCTGTACGCTGATGACACTCAGATATACCTCTCCTCCCCGGACCTCTCCTCTGCCGTCCTGCAACGTGTCACTGCTTGCCTTTCTTCCATTTCTGACTGGATGTCCTCACGCTTTCTGAAACTTAACCTCTCTAAAACTCAACTCCTTGTTTTTCCTTCTCCTAATACTGATCCTCCTCTCTCGCTCTCCTTTCAAATCAGTGATATCCGCATAAGTCCATCCCTGCAAGCGTGCTGTCTTGGCATCATACTTGACTCTGGTCTCACCTTTGAGTCTCACATCCAGTTTGTTGCCAAGTCCTGTAGGTTCCAACTCAAAAACATAGCCCGCATCCGCCCCTTTCTTACGCAAGATGCTACCAAGGAGCTTGTCCATGCTCTAGTAATTTCCCGCATGGATTACTGTAACCCTCTCCTGATTGGTCTCCCCAAAAGCCGTTTTGCCCCGCTACAGTCTGTAATGAATGCTGCAGCTAGACTGATTTTCCTCTCTAGTCGGTCCTCTCACACCTCACCCCTCTGTCAGTCCTTACATTGGCTCCCTGTATGCTATAGGAGTCAATTCAAAGTGCTAACCCATACATTTAAAGCACTGAACAATTCTAGCCCCACTTATATCTCTTCACTAATCCATAGATATGCCCCTCCTCGTACCCTCCGCTCTGCCCGTGACCACCTCCTGACCGCTGCTTGCACCCGTACGGCCAACTCGCGCTTGCAGGACCTCTCGCGGGTGGCTCCTCTCCTATGGAATAGCTTGCCTACTGCCATCAGACTCTCCCCTAGTCTTCAATCATTTAAGAAGGGCCTTAAAACCCATCTCTTCAGGAAAGCGTATTGCCGCCCAGAGTAATCTCTACCTTACATACCTGTCTCCCGCTCTCTCCTCCAGCTCTGCTTCACTCCTACTTGAGACTTCCTGTCCTAATGTTTCTAATACCCCACCTCCTATAGTCTGTAAGCTCGTTTGAGCAGGGTCCTCTTCAACCTATTGTTCCTGTAAGTTTTCTTGTAATAGTCCTATTTATTGTTACATCCCCCCCTCAAAATATTGTAAAGCGCTACGGAATCTGTTGGCGCTATATAAATGGCAATAATAATAATAATAATAATAATAATAATGGGGGTAATTCTCATTCCTGGGCTACCATACGCTCTCAAAGGCAACATAACCAATCTGGCAAATTTCAATGTGAAAAAAATGAAATGCAAGCCTTATATGTGACTCCCTAACTTTCCAAAACACCATAAAACCTGTACATGGGGGGTACTGTTATTCTCGGGAGACTTCACTAAACACAAATATTAGTGTTTTAAAACAGTAAAACATATTACAACAATAATATAGTCCATAAAAGTGCCGTTTGTTTGTAAAAAATGCAAAAAAATGTCACTTTTCCTTAAAATATCATCGTTGTAATACAATTTATCATTTTGAATATTTGAGTTCAGTGAAGTCTCCTGAGTAAAACAGTACCCCCTATGTACAAGTTTTATGGTGTCTTGGAGAGTTGCAGGGTCAAATATAGTGTTACAAATTAAATTCTCTGCACTTTCTGCCTGTGTTGTCAGGCATGTCAATCAAATTTTAATTAATCAAATCACATAATTATGTTAAAAGATTACTTAAATGTACATGTAGAATTTTAATAGATATGCATTTATAGGTATTTAAATTCTACGTGTATACTAAGGTAATTTTTTATGTAATTATATGTATATATATATATATATATATATATATATAATTGCGGTTATTTGTATTTTATATATAGATATATATATAGAATGTCATTCTAAGTTTATTTTGTTACCAATATATATATATATTAATAACAAAATACGGTTAGAATGAAATTACATATGAATATATAATTTATATTAAATTGTTTCAATATTTTATTTATTTATTTTATTATTTTATTTATTATTGTAATTATACGTGTATATATGTGTATATATATGTGTATATATCTATTATATATATAATATATATACAAATTATATATGTAACGTCATTCTAAGTGTATTTTAATATTAATATATGTAATTATATTAATATTAAAGTATACTTTGTATGACGTTACATATATAATATGTATATATATATGTATATAATATATATATATATATATATATATATATAATATACATATATTATATATATAAAAATACTTTTAATTAATTTTACACATGTCTAATTATTTTTTTTTTCTATTTCCCATCAGCAGGGGGACTGTCTGACATT